TACATGATGATTAATTTTCTCGAAAATCTTCATTTTCATAATGGCAACCTAACACTCGAGTTCTATGAAGTAAGTAAAGAGAAATTGATTTCTATTTTGTTCATTGAAATTATAACACTGATTCGTGTCCTGCTCGCCAAGTTTTTGACCTTTTTCGCCAACATGAAACAAATCACAAAACTACATTATAAATCAAACACAATATGTTCGGCACTATAATTAAAAACATGAAACAAATAAAAAAAAAACTACATTATAAATCAAACACATCAAGTGTGGGACTATGATTAACAACATGAAACAAATAAAAAAAAATACATCATAAATCAACAACAACATGCATGACATGTGTGGGACTATAGTTAACAACATGAAACAAATAAAAAAAACTACACTATAAATCAAACACATCATTCGTGGCACTATAATTACCAACATGAAACAAATAAAAAACTACATTATAAATCAAACACAAAATGTGTGGCACTATAATTAACAAAATGAAACAAATTAAAAAACTACATTATAAATCAAACACAAAATGTGTGGCACTATAATTAACAAAATGAAACAAATAAAAAAAACTACATTATAAATCAAACACAAAATGTGTGGCACTATAATTAACAAAATGAAACAAATTAAAAAACTACATTATAAATCAAACACAAAATGTGTGGCACTATAATTAACAAAATGAAACAAATAAAAAAAACTACATTATAAATCAAACACCAAACACATTATTCGTGGCACTTAAATCAACAACATGAAACAAATCCCAGAAAATTCATTATATATCAATACAACATGTTTGGCATTACAATCAAAAACATTTGATAAATCAAAAACACTACATTCTATATCAAACACAACATGTGTGGCGCTATAATCAAGATCCCAGATTTTAGTTTACTATAAAGCAAATTTCTATGTTATAAAATGTACAGATTTTTAAGATAGAGGAAACACAACGTTTAGCAAATAATCACTTCCGTCTGATGAATATGACAGAAAACTAGATTGTAAACCTTCCTTTTTATTGATATTATTTTTTTTATTTCAATTTTAGATGCCATTAGATGTTTACAATGTAATAGTATGACACAACCTTTTGACTGTACTCATGTGTCGGAATGTGGAAGAAACGAGGTAATTGGTTCGAATCTCTCGGAATTCGTTGTATCACTTCCATGATGGTATATATTACCTACTTAGATTACTTAAAGCAGTTGAATATACACTTTATTTTGGTAGAGTGGTATTTTTTTTTGTCTCCATGAATACGCACGATTAATATATATCACTGTAATTTTACAAAAATGACTATACTTTCAGGAATGTTATCTTGAAAAGTATGTCACTAGTGATGGAATAATGTTATACGACGTAGGTTGTACAGCTTCACAGGTTAGTTACTACATAGTTATTATTTTACCCCCTCAAAAAGAGGATAGTATATTTCTCTAAACCCTTTTTCGTCCGTTTTGTCGTCAGTCGATAACTTTTGGTCCAGATATACATTTCTCGGATTCATCATTACAAATGAGGCGGAAGATACCCAGATGACATTAAAAAGAACTCTACGGCTTAAGATTATTCCGAATTTAATAATAAAAACCACAGCAAGTTTGTGACGTTTCTAACCGGGAGCAAAAAGCGCACACTTAAATAACGTGAGCACACCGAATCTGTAAGAATTGCATAAAGGTATATTTGACTTACTGGCTCATTAAACTAGTGAATTGAAAATGAAACTACATAGATGAGCCTCCTCATGGGGTTTTTGATTATATGATTACTTGGCCGTTTTTATAGTGATTATTTGTTTACCAGACCAAATATTACATAATTATTTGATTATTTGATAATCTAGGACTGTATTTTTGATTATTTGATTATCTTGTTTAAAAAAATAGTTAATGATTATGTGATTATATTGGCAAAATATTTGTGATTATGTGATTACTTGGACAGTCCCATGAGGGGCCTCATGGATTCAACTTGAAAGTCAATGATGTATTAATACCTGAAAAAGTGAGGAGTTAAATGATCAAAAGGCACTTCATTTAAGACCGAGTATATTACACCCGTCAACAAAATAATTAAATTTTGTAATTACATTTCAAACATATAATACGTGAAAGATAAATATTCTGAGACCAAAAGTTGTGTTTGAATTGGTTGGTGATTTCAAACACAGAAAGCAACTATAATTTTTTTATTTTTATTAAGTATCAATTGATTTGGCACTGAAAAAAAAACGATTTTATTTCTTTCATGCAATTTTGTAAGAGACGTTTTCTATTTTTTCTCTTCCCTTTTTATGAATTTGATATTCCTTCTGTTAATGTTTTAATTTTTTGCAGGTAATGTTTTTCTATGTAAGTTTCTTCTTTTTTGCCGCAGACATTTGAGTTTCTTATGATGCTTTAAGGATGTTCGCTCCTCTTGTTTTTGACTTTTTGTCAGATATTCGGAATCCTCTAGTTTTATCCATGTAGTGCCAATAAAAATTTTGCCCACTGACCCCTACTTTTCTTTTCATAATTTTATTGCATATAGTTTTGAAAGTCATTTCTGAAAATTTTATAAAATCCTTGTTATTTTTTCATAGCTTTTGAAAGGAAAAAGGTGTCAATGTTAAATGTATGAAAAATCTAGAGAGAACCACTTCCCGCCAAATTTTCAACTGATTATATCTCAAAAACTAGAACACGGACCTATCATTTTTTTTCTAATTTTTATGTTCCCTTATTCATATTCTATCAATCTATAACAGTCTTTTATAAACCTTGTTATTTTGAAACAGAGGAGCGAACATCCTTAATTTCTCCATTTGATAGCCTCATTCAGAGTCTATGAAAACGTTTTATTCTTCAGTTATGTACTACTTCTAATAAGCCTTTTGGAAAAAGAGCAAGTATTGGCACCAATATATGCTCTGTATGTTGCAATGATAAAGATGTATGTAATATCGACGGATATTGCGGCGCTGAAAGTATGTATTTAGCATTTTCAGGAATACGCCATCATTTGTGTATGCATGTGTATTTTCCTAATTTTCATCTTTTTGCTCGTATTTTAATCATTATCATTGTGTGTTTAAACTTACAATCGTAGACTTTACTTTAATTAGGAATCTACCAGTAAAAAAAAGTAACGGTTTTTAATACACATAATGTAAGAATAACGCTATGTAAAAGAATGTTCTTCTATGAACTTTCTAACCCAGGAATATATTACCTCGGACTTATTTGGCAAAACTTTTGCGAATTTTGGGTCCTCAATAATCTTCCACTTCGTATTTTATTCGGCCTTTTCACTTTTCTAATTTTAGCGTCATTGATAAGTCTTTTTGTAGACGACACACACATCTGGCGTACAAACTTGTAAGCTCAATATCTAGACTTACTACAGTTTACTTCTAAAAGTATCAATTATTAAAACTATTCTCGCCTGATTTATCATATGAACATCAACACATGATCAAAATTTACTTATAACGGACAGTTTAATTTCATTTATTTGTTTACGGTCTGGTATACTTATGTTTACGAGACTTCTTGTATCACCTTCATCAGGTAATGTTCTTTTCTAAAAAAACAAAAGGTTTGGAAACTAAATGTTGTCTGTTTTATATAGACAGTTATAACAAGATTTATTCATGTTCTTCTGAACAAGTCACTCTAAATTATAAATTATGGGAATTTCAAAAACAAAATTATTTGCTTAATATCTAGATTTTTTCCAAATTGAATGATGATAGGTTCTTATAAGTATGACGAAGGATAAACACGATTAATTGCAATTATCCTAAAGACAACTTCTAGTTTTACTGTAGAAATTATACTATCATCACCAGATTGTAGCGTTATCTTATTCATGTTAATAAGTTATATATAGATCTTGATCCCAGTATTGCGGTTTAGTGATAGAGATATACTCTTTACTCAAAGACTTTGCAGGGTTATTGCAAATGTAAAAACGAATTCTATGAGTACAAAAACAAGTAAGCTTTTAAGAACGCACAATTGATACCCTTCGGAATACCGACCACTGACTGTAAATATATATCGATCCACCAAGCCCAACAAAATGTTGTCGATAAAAATTCTAGCATTTTGATAATGTTATCTTCTTCGATGTTCTTTTTGTTAAAATCAGAGTGGATCTATTCATCATGACTGTTAAGTTATTTCAAACTTTAGAATGGCAACGATACTGATAAAAGATAAAACAATATATATGCAAACAACCACTCTGCCTCGATTAGACTGCGAATTGATACAACCCGAACAGCCAAACGGTAGCACCAATATGACAGGGTTGTTCTGCCGGAAAAAAAAATTCACAAAATTTCTGTATGCCACCTTGTTTTTACCGAATAAAGAATGTTAGTACTTTAGATTTTAAAAATATTTTGACTATATTTATAAGGATTTGTTTTCGTTTCATTTTGTTCTTATATTTTTAATGCCCCACCTACAATAGTAGAGGGGCATTATGTTTTCGGTCTGTGCGTCCATGCGTTCGTTCGTTCGTTCGTCAAAGTAGTTTTTGATGAAGTTTAACTTGAAACTTAGTACACATGTTCCCTATGATATGATCTTTGTAATTTTAATGCCAAATTAGAGTTTTGATCCCAATTTCACGGTCACTGAACATAGAAAATGATAATGCGATTGGGGCATCCGTGTACTATAGACACATTCCTGTTTTATCTTTTATCAATATCGTTGCACAAATCTTCAGTCTTTTCTATATCTAAAAGGCCTCGACTGATGACGAAAACAGACATCATTTTTTTGGATGTATCTTTACTTGATTAACCAACATTTAGTGTGAGTTTGAATATATGATATTGTCCAGTTAATAGAGAGTAATTACCAAATTTTCAACAACAAACAAAAACAAAACCACAAAATAACATTTACTACAAATGTTATGCATTGATACCATGGATAAATATTTTTCTTTTCTAGAGTTTGTACCACCAACAGGTTCAAACCTTTGCTACAAGTGCCACTTAAGTGGCAGACCTGACAGTTGTCACCAGTTAACGTTATGTGATCAGACTTCAGTAAGTCATGCGATTTATTCATTTTAGTCGAGTTATTCATAACGGATTAAATTACTAGTCCTAAATTGGCATGTATAATACACGTTGAAAATAATATAATAAAGCATTTGACTTATAGCCCATTGTTCAAATCCCTGCTTTTTCTACTCTGAGTCTACGAAAAGCACGGTGACTTCATTCTGTCTATTTTGTGAAAATGTTTAATATCAATGGCGTAATACAGTCGACAGTTTTAGATATCTTCGTTGAAAATTTCACAACTGAATTAACTATAAAAACTTACGACAAATCAAGGTGTTCGTTATAAAAATATAAAAAATCATATTTTTATATTTGTTTTTGAAAGTAAATTTTGTATTGTCCTGTCTGAATTTTCAAAAGGTGTTTTTTATAGAAAATTTTGATAAAACCATATATGAATATATGGAAGAGTAATAAAGGTCGAATTTAAAAAAGAACTACATAGATTAATTGATTGATTTTTAATTGCTTTACGTCAAATGAAAAATATTTCCTGCATGTACTGGATGAGAACAATTTAACAATTAGTACAAAGGAAGGCAGGTAATTTGGATGCCACTGAATAATTAGGGTTTATTGGCTAGGGGCAAAAATTAGGCCTCGCAAAAGGCCACATAATGACCCCTCAAATAGTTGTCGCACGGTTGGTACGTAGCGGAGAGAGTGACACTCTATATACACGTGATTTTAGATGCTAAGTCTCTATTCTACATTGAGGAGGCTGCAAATTGATATAACCAGTACAGCCAAACGGAAGCCACAATTTGAATAAAGCATACTTAAAAACATAAAAATGCCAGAGAAAAAAAATTATATATTTATCGTTCGCAAATTTTTGTTCTTCCCTCAGCGGCATTCGAACCCTTGCTTCTGTGACATCGTAATAACTCCGCCACCACTGTGTCCCTCGCCTTAGACCACTCGACCACCTAAGCTACATAAAATTATAGCTTTCGCTGGCCGAGTAATGCATTTCTTTGTCGGCTTTATCTAGGGCTGTAACACAGTACATGATGTATGATGGCAATAAGAATGGAATATCTTTCTGATCAGCTATGTTTTGTCCGTCGTAAAGGATGATAATGTAATTACCATGCCGTCACATCAAATTTTATTTTTTTAATTTTTATTATAATATATATATACGTCTAAACATCCGACAACTTTATGACAGACGTTCTCCATCGGATAACCCGTGGTTATACAGAGCTTACACCATATATATAACTCGTCTCAAATTCAGCCCAACAATGTTAGACCTGTAAATTTGTGTTCGCAAATTTTGTTCTTCCCTCAGCGGGATTCCAACCCTTGCTTCTATGACTCCGCCTGCACTGTGTCCCTAGACCACTCGAAATATACAGACGCTGTTAGTTTCGAGATTTAAATACAAGATTATTGGTATCATTACTTGATTGAGTGATTATTGCTTGCTTAACATATCAGATAACATATCTCTCGACGGTAATTTCAAAATCTATTTATCGGAATTTACTAGTTAGTTTTTTAGGATATTTTATTTTTCTTTTGGTTTCAGTTGCAATCTGTCCTAAAAAACAAACAAGTACAATCCGATAAATGGATTATGGGATATTCATCACATTTATACTGAAAACATATCAACTGTAAGACAAAGAAAACTCTTTAAATCCTTAGATATTTATGAACTATCGTAAATGGGACGGAGTAACAATACTTGAATATATAATTCTATTTAATGTTACATAAACTGCATTTTAACATGACAACAGAATGAATCTTTTAAAAATAGACGCAAACAAAATCAAAAAGTAACTCACAATCAAATGAACATAAGTGTACATTGTTGTACATTGAGTTGTTCAGAAGAAGTTCAAAAACTGAAAAAAAAATTGTATTAAAAAAAAAAATAAGAGACTTAAATTTTACCTTAACAAGTGTTTCTTCTTCCGGTTTTTGTTTTAGGTCTGTTCGCTTCAACAAGTAACTAATATTCTTGGGCATACTCGATGGGAACATGGTTGTGTTAAGAAAGCGGTATGTACACATATGTTAATGCAATTATTTACGAGTCGGTGTCGGGTTCCTTATTTGGAAAAAAAATTGGAATTAACATTTCAAGTTCAAAAATTATTTTAACGAAAACGTAAGGTTCAAAATCCCTGGCACAACGCCTTATGTTTTTTTCTTCTTTTTACACTTTATTTAAATCCCAAATGTGTGAACTTTTGTAAAGTAAACAAGCCTTTCAGACATTGTTTGAATCTTTCTCAAAATAGTATTGACAATATTTCGAAATTAATACAATATCTGATCCTGTCATTTGGAGCAAGCACAATGAATAAAACTACTCGCTTTTGTTATAAAATTACATATCAGTCTACATCATTTTTCGCAACGAGCATCACAATTGCAACTGGTAAAATAGGCACAGGTTACCTCTGCTTACCCTTCTGCAGAACATGATTCAATCTTCGTTTCATTTTTACCTTTATTGGGCAAAAGATTTTGTTTTAGCTCGTTTGTATTCACATCAACCTGAAACTTATTACATTTGTTTATTACAAAGTGAAATGATAAATATATATACCAAATTATAGTTTTGATCCATATTTCAATTCAGTTCAGTTAGGTTTTGCTTCAGGTAGGTCAAGGTTTTGGTTTAAAATAGTTTGTGGTCACACGAACTTGAAACTTAGTACACATGTTCATTATGAGATGAACTGCTTAATAAATATGCCAAAATTAGGGTTTTTATCAAGATTTCACGGTTCACTGAACATGGAAATGTAATAGCGCGAGCAGGCATGGTTTTCAATGGACACACATTCTTGTTGTTTTGGTGTTGTATTTTTACTTTTCTTTTTTTTTTGCTTTTTGTTTGGTGTATTTTTTAAGGTAGGGTGTTAGTGTTGCTCAATCTTAGGTTTCCTGTTTTAAGTTTTGTGGATTGTTGGTTGTCTATTTGTCGCGTTGAGGGTATATAATAATGGAGAGGTCGTCCATATATGCGTCTGTCCGTTCGGTCTTGTAAGATTTCATTTTTTGATTTTTGGTGTTTTAACGCCACTTTTAAGCACCGCTTTTGGGCTATTTCGTGGCGGCCAGTTTTTATTGGTGGAGGAAGCCGGAGTGCCCGGAGAAAACCACCGACCTTCGATAGCGGTCTTGTAAGAAAATTAGTGCCTATTAATATTTTTTTTAAAATCTATGCCCTAGAAATAAGAATTATATAAAAAAAAAAAATGCATAATAGGCTGTCTGAAAATTTACATTTTTAGCTCACCTGGCCCTATGGGCCAAGTGAGCTTTTCTCATCACTTGGCGTCCGTCGTCGTCGTCGTCTGTTTTCGTTGTCCGTTAACTTTTACAAAATTCTTCTCCTCTGAAACTACTAGGCCAAATTTAACCAAACTCGACCAGAGTCATCATTGGGGTATCTAGTTTAAAAAAAGTGTCCGACGACCCCGCTTATTAAACAATATGGCCGCCATGGCTTAAAAAAGAACATAGGGGTAAAATGCAGTTTTTGGCTTTTATCTCTGAAACTAAAGCATTAAGAGCAAATCTGACGTGATATAAACATGTTCATCAGGTCTAGATCTATCTGCCCCGACATTTTCAGACAAATCAGACAACCTGTTGTTGAGTTGCTGCCCCTGAATTAGTAGTTTTAAGGAGATTTTGCAGTGTTAGGTTATTATCTTGAATATTATTATAAATAGAGATAAACTGTAAACAGTAATAATGTTCAGCAAAGTAAAATCTACAAATAAGTCAACATGACCAAAATGGTCAATTGACCCCTTAAGGAGTTATTGCCCTTTATAGTCAATTTTTAACAATTTTTTGTAAATTTTTGTAATCTTTCACAAAAATCTTCTCCTCTGAAACTACTGAGACAAATTTAACCAAACTTGGCCACAATCATCATTATGGTATTTAGTTAAAAAATTGTGTCCGATGACCCCGCTTGCCAACCAACATGGCCGACATGGCTAAAAAAAGAACATAGGGGTAAAATGCAGATTTTGGCTTATATCTCTGAAATTAAAGCATTTAGAGCAAATCTGACTGAAATAAAAATGACCATGAGGTTAAGATCTATCTGCCCTGAAATTGTCAGACAAATCAGACAACCTGTAGTTGGGTTGCTGCCCCTGAAACGGAAATTTAAGGAAATTTTGCAGTTTTTGGTTATTATCTTGAATATTATTATAAATAGAGATAAACTGTAAACAGCAATAATGTTCAGCAAAGTAAGATCTACAAATAATTTAACATGACCAAAATGGTCAATTGACCCCTTAAGGAGTTATTGCCCTTTATATTCAATTTTTAACAATTTTTTGTAATTTTTTGTAATCTTTTACAAAAATCTTCTCCTCTGAAACTACTGAGACAAATTTAACCAAACTTGGCCACAATCATCATTAGGGTATCTTGTTTAAAAAATGTGTCCGATGAAACCGCTTACCAACAAACATGGCAGACATGGCTAAAAATAGAACATAGGGATAAAATGCAAGTTTTGTCTATTATTTTTTTGAACCGTTACAAATAGAGAAAATCTGAAAGGAGCAAAAATGTTCAGAATAATGAGCTCTACCAATTATCCATATAAGTCAAAACTATTAGACAAATTCTTATAGGAGTTATTCCCATAAATGACAAATTTTACCATTTTTTTTCATTTATGCCTATTATCATGAAAACAATGATATTTAGAGAGAAACATTTTTTTTTCTGTTATGCCTTATATGATTAAAATTATAATAGATAAACACTTTAAATCACAAAAAATGATCAGCAAGGCAAGATCTATTAAAAAGTCAAATTTTGCCGATATAGTTAATAGAGTGTCACTCTTCATAGGAGTGATTGCCCTTAAAGTAGGATTTTTTTTACCTTCTTTTGTGTTTTGAGCAAAAAACTAAAGAAGATAGAGAGAAACTAAACAGACTAAAAGATCAGTTATACAAGATCAACAAAATAGATACTTGTGATGAAGTCTATTCTCGTTTACAATGTTGGAGAGTGTCCTTTGTTTGATATGCACATAGACCAAGGTGAGCGACACATGCTCTTTAGAGCCTCTAGTTTGTAAGATTTTATCAAAATCTGTTTCTCAGCCAAATTCGAAAATCATGTAATGCATGTACTGATTTTTTTGTCATGGATGGATACCACATATATTTTGTTTTCTATTAGATGATGTTTGATGGGCGAGCAGCCCAAACATGCTATATTGAGAGGAGGACATAATTAATGGATGATATCAATGAACATTAAGGATGTTCGCTCCTCTCGTTTTTGAATTTTTGTCAGATATTCGGAATCCTCTAGTTTTATCCATGTAGAGCTATTAAAAAATTTTGACTGCAAACCCCTACTTTTCTTTCCAGAATTTGATTACATATAGTTTAAAATGTTATCTTTGAAAATCTTATAAAATCCTGGTTATTTTTTCGTTGTTTTTGAAAGAAAAACGGTGCCAATTTTATATATATGAAAAGTCTAGAGAGAATCATTTCCCGCCAAATTTTAAATGACTTATATCTCGAAAACAAGCACACGTACCCTTCATTTTTTTCTGCTTTTTTAGTTTCTTTATTTATATACTATCAATTTATAACAGTCTTTTAAAAAGCTTGTTATTTTGAAACAGAGTAGCGAACATCCTTAAACGAAAAATATAGGATACGGACACAAAAGGGGTGACGTTTAACTGCCACAAAACATATATGTATAGTTGGATATAATCCATAATACTATCCCGAGCATCGGCTACAACAATAAGCCTACAACTAACGAATAAATAAAAATGGAAGGTTTTTCGTCCTAGGATATCTGATCTCCTCCTAACATAGGAAAATCACTGGAGGACGGTTTCGTTTTCTATACAGAGCCTCTGCAAGGGTTTCGTGTCCTTTAGATTCCATTTCTTCTCTCGGGACAATAGACGTATACCTTATTCTAAAAATCATGAACTATTTTCAAAATATTGTCATTTGTGCGATTTACCCTCAGCAGGAATGTTTTCGATGTCAGTATAGTTTCTATCGTTTCCCTTTATCTCTTAAGTTGGAATGTCAATGGTTTTAGCATTTTAGTAAATAAACGCTTCCAAAATATGGTAATCATGTGCTTATCTGACAAAAATGTAATTGTATAGGTATTGTGTTGTTGGTTTGCTATGCTATTAGCGTATCATACTTTTTAACCAACACTCTTCTGAAAATGCAAAGATGGTAATATTCAATATTGTACCATTTGCTTATACAACAAACTATTTGGAACAGAACAATGACTCACAATCGCTTAGTTTGTTAACGTCAGTGTTAAATATTCAAATGTATGTTTCTGTGCTTTATATAAAGGGCTATTTCCATTTTCAGCTTTGCAGTAGTATATCTCAGCATGGAGGTTGTTCTTACTGTTGTGACTCTCAACTGTGTAATAACAACTGTTCCATAACACATTCGGTAATCACTTCACCAACTATAGCTTCGACCACTACAACAGGACAACGTAAGTATGTGAGTTCGAGCCGTCATTTTTCTTAAAAATAACGATGACAAACGTTCAGATATATTGATGATGTTCTTTCCGTTTACAATCCAAACTTTTCTGATTGGGTTCCATTAATATATCCCCCAGAACTAGAAATTAGACACGGCTTCCTCCGCCTCATTTTTAGACTTATACCTCGAATTTGACATACATGATCATCTCAGTTCCAGAATCTATGACAAACGAGACGATTTAATTTTTGAAATTATCAATTTCCCCAACTTTAGTAGCAATATATTAACTTCACCTGCATATGGGATATACATTTCCCAACTAATTGGGTATTCAAGAGCTTGCAGCTGCTACTCAGACTTTGTAAAACGTCACCTGTGTCTGAGCAGAAAGTTGATGAACCAGGGGTATGTCAAAGAACGTCTCGTCCTTTTTCTAAAAAAGTTCATCGGAAGGTACCAAGACCTTGTTGATAAATATTCCGTATCAACTTCACATATAATACAGGATGGTCTTGAAGTATAGATTCTGGGTACTGACGTTATTTATCATCTTAATAACGTGTTATAGTATTCTTTTATTTGTCTTTTTGAATATTACTTTTATTGTTTAGTCTATTTTTGGTGAAATCCATTTGACGTGGCTCGGTACTTATACATCCCGTCATTGTGTTATTGTGCTATGGTAAATTTTTGTATTCTTGTCTTTCATTTGTGTTTGTGTGCTTTGTCTATATACCTTTTTGTGTTTCTTTGTTACATATTTGTTTGTTTTTAGTGATTAAGATTATAGCAAAATGTTGACTGTTGTACCTCTTATTTGATATTTTTACCTATTATGTCTGTTTGTTTTGTTCACACATCGTTGTCAATATAATGGAATTTTATTCGACTGTCATACAAGTGAGAGGTTTAGCTAGCTATAAAACCAGGTTTAATCCACTATTTTTTCATAAGAAAATGCCTGTACCAAGTCGGGAATTATACAATTGTTATCCATTCGTTTGATGTGTTTGAGCTTTTGATTTTGCCATTTGATTAGGGACTTTCTGTTTTGAATTTTCCTCGGAGTTCGGTGTTTTTGTGATTTTACTTTTTGTAACGTCAAAAGATTCCTGTATGTTAAAAATGATTCGTTCAATCGCCGGAGCTTGGCCTACCACTACAATGTTATGTGTAAAAAGATATATATGAACACAAATATCGTAAGTTGTTCATTTACATAATGAATATACATATTACAAACATATAAAGATGACTTAGTTGCAGTTTTCCGTTTAGTCTGACATACTTGAAGTACATAGTAAAAGGAGAAAATTTTCACAAATATTGTTATATTATAAACTTCGATTGCAAAAATCGTCCTGCATTTTAAAAATAAATGTTCTTGAAAGTGCACAAGCTTTACAGTAGAGTAACTTATTGCATGTACAAAATAAACCAAAACTTTCCATTCTTTCTAAGTTCAGATTAGCGTGACGGTTAATGTATGCATAGCAAGAGAGGCATGTCTACTTGACTCACCCGGTCTCACTCAATTGAGGTTCCTGCAGCTTTTGCTCATCTTTATTTATATATTAAAAAATGAATTAACCAATTGTGAACGTCGATATAGTATTATTGTTCCCTCTTCAAAGCTGAAATCGCTTAACCATAATATCTTGCTATTTTGAATATATTTTCCAAAGTATTGTTTGCAATCTAATAATTGATATTCAATATCAATAGTTTAAATTTGACATTATCTTCTGACTGGCTGCATTTGGCAATTATCCGGCTTTTTAAAATTCATACAGCTAAAAATCCGTCAAAGCAAGCTCTGTAAGACTCTGGTATTTTAATTTTACCGTTGTAAGGAGAATTTTTTATATAATCTAAGATAAACTTCAACCGAAAAGGCAGTTTAAGGATCTAATTTATACAATATCTATTTCAGTTTAGTAGGTTAATTTTTTGTTTGCTAAAATAAATGGTAGGTGACAAATAACTCATGCATTTCAGAACTAAAACTAGTTAACTTTTTCTGAAAAATTTGAAATAAAGTGTTTTTATATGTTCTATCGAAATATACATGATATACAAAGAAAGATACCTAATTGACTTACTTTGCAAGATATTTCAATTTGAAACGTATGTTTCATGTAAAAACGCAAATTTGAATTTTTCCTTAAAAAATAACATAACTTTATACCAGAAAGAGATATTTCACCATTCTTTTGTTCGACTGCGTGATCAGCTTTACACTTAGGTAATGATTTGCAATGGTATTTTTAAATACAATTTCAAAACAACTTCATGAAATATGCTTAAGAAAGAACTGCGACTTTAGGTTAGATATGCGATGAACGTAACAAAAATACTATATATATATATCATGTTGGGGAGTGGTTTTATAAATGTTTAAGGGTTTGCAACTGCTAAACTTCACATTTTTGAAAATCAGTCAGTCGTACTTAATTATGTCAGACGTGTAATGTTTTAACCGTTTTATTAAAACATGATATTGATAATTGGACATCAATGAATTGTGTTATAACTGAAATTCAATCGTGCAATCTCGGGTGCAACAATTCCTAAGAAGGTATTAAACACCATGCATACCTCATATCTTGTAATAATATATATAGAATGTTTCCAACAAATAGAAGATACTTATGTTTGCTTCGCATCACGTGCCGAAGCTAATAGTTACAATCGATGCATACGCCATCTTGAAACTATTACTGAACAAAAGTTAGTTATTATTGGTTGCTTATTCGTGTGGCTAAGATTTTATTGGCTTGGATGATTTCTTAAATTAGGACCACGTCAGGTAGAGAAGAAAAATCTATATATGGCCGGTCTTACAGTAAGGGTATTTGAGACCTATTTGATGAATAAGTATTTTTGGATAAGCGCTGAAAGTCAAAATTGATATATTGATCATTACGCATGTCATTATTTCATTTGTTTTAACCAGTAATACACGGTTAGTCTATTTACATTATTTCGTATTGGCTATGTGTATGTTGTTTATACCATATTATCAGTCTTTTTATATAATACACGAAAATGATGCTAATGTTCACTGATGTGTTTATTCGATGCTGATTGGTATGTAATTATTAGATATGTATTTGTTAAAAAAGAGGGGCGAAAGATACCAGAGGGACATTTAAACTCATAAATCAAAAATAAACTGACAAAGCCATGGCTAAAATAGAAAAAGACAAACAGACTAACAATAGTACACAAAACACAACATAGAAAACTAAAGACTAAGCAACACGAACCTCACCAAAAACTGGGGGTGATCTCAGGTGCTCCGGAAGGGTAAGCAGTGATTTGTTAAACTTATCACATTATACAAGTTAGAAAGTGTAGGTCTAAAACAGCACTTTAAATAATCAAAACAAAAAAACAACAAACCACACACCAGTATATAGCATCAACGTTAAGTTGATTCCCTCGTAACATGGTTAATTTAAAGCATATATATATTGGTAACTCTCGATGTGTATTTCATGTGATTATAAAGTCGACAGTACCAATCTACTTGTACCTGACAGAAATAATTTAATTCATTAGAGAGAGTTAAAATATCCAGTCAGAATTAACGGTATCGCGTACCAATCTAATCAAGAGGATCCTTTGTCTAAAGAATAGTTTGTTAGAGTAACTTTTTAATGTTAAATTATCCTCTCACCTGTACTTATTCGTGATCCTTTTAACAGGGCCTTTACCATGTTTTTGTATCATTTTATTAATAAAAATGTAATTCAAACTAAAATAAAAGTATATGAAAATGATATAAATAAGGAAAATAATAAATACTTCTGAAAAGAAATGCGAACTATCGTTTTATCTACAAAATACAGATAATACAAAAACTAAAGCTGACGTTTATTTGTGATACTTGAGGCACTCTATACCTTTTTGAAAAATGTTAAACTTGTAAAGCCTTTAATTTGTTATGACTTGACCTGCAATATGAGTGAGACGGCCATGAAACCAACGATGCTATTAAAGTAGTCAATAACATTTTCGTGTATATAAAGAACCGAAGACTACGAAGATTGTTCTTGTTAAATCATCATCCAATGTACAATAATTACTAAAATAATTTTATGTAATACGTCTTATAATAATATATAAAAATAACAATTTGTTAATTGATTGATTTATTCATTTGTCGATTGTGTATAAAAAAAGTGCATTAACAAAAATACCAAACCCCAACGAAAATTCAAAACGGAAAGTCCCTTATCAAATGGCAAAATCAAAAGCTCAAATAGATCAAACGAATGGAAAACGACTATCATTTTTCTGACTTGGTACAGGCATTTCCTTATGTAGAAAATGTTGGACTAAACCTGGTTTAATAGCGTGTTAAACTTCTCACTTCTCACTTAAATGACGGTTGCATACCTGTCAAACTGTCATACCATGTAATACACTGTGTGTTTAGCTTAAGTTGGCATCAGCGAGTTACGTAATGACATTATAAATAGGGGGTGATCTCAGGTGCTAAAAGACTAATTATATTTTTTTAGTTCTGTATCATCCTTAATTAATATTGTCTATATTGACAACGCCATGACAAAAAAAAAGATCAAAAGACAAACAACAGTATACGAAATACAACATACATATAGAAAAATAAAAACGGAGCAACACGAATCAAAAAAAAATATACCCGTGGGGTGATCTCAGGTGCCCCGGAAACATATGTTTTAATTGTTTTTGATGGTATATTCTTACTATTACGGAATCACGACCATTCCGAACAAAATTCTTAAATGCTTAAGATGTTCTTGAAATATGCAATATTTGAAATTACGATTGATGGCTTGTGTCCTTTGCCAAAATACTCGTTATCTTTTTTCAAAAATAGAATAATTGAGAAATAGTCGCATATACATATAACTACTGAATCTAGTGTGATAAGATATTTTTCTTCTCGAAACACTTAATTTTCAGTATTTTAAACGCTAGGTAACCGAGCGTTCTAAACATTTAAAAGGTAACTGCGGTGAGTAGAGAAATACCATATCACACGGGATACGGTGGTGATATACAGATTCTACAACAACATCGAGTGTGATACAATTATTCTCCAGTCAATGCAGTTAAACTTTCAAATTCAAAACGCAAAGCCTGCCAAGACGATATTTAGGATACCATCTTTCTTTTGAAAGAATGTAAAAAAAGTACGTGACCATGTTCCTTCTAAGAGACATAAACAGGCATAGTCGTCATGTTCGTTAACGCCAAACAAAGGAAACAAGGGGGAATTAAGAAATATGACGTCATAATTACATTAACGAAAATCTGAGATCAACCTAGCGCTTCGTTAATTATCAACAAATAATCAACCTATCGAGAAAAGTCTCGAATAAAAATTTGAGAAATATTTTTTCACTGATGTTGGTTTGATAATATCTAGGCAAGTTTATCTCTTTTTTCAATTATTTAGAAAGATATTATGTTCCTGAAGTCAGGAAATATAAGACATGGTCGCATAGTTTGTTGTGACGTCATAATAGTGAAATCATAGGAACGTATACATATATTGCGTAATCAATTGTGAAAAAAGTACTATAGAGTTCGTTGAGTGCAAAAATCAACTAGGAATTAGAGAAATCAATTTTATTGTTATTGATTATAATATTTTCACGTGTTTGTTTCTTATTTTTCAGAGACCGCCCCAAGCGTTCAACACTTTATTCAGCATCCAACCAATATCAGATATGGTGATACAGTTACAATCCAATGCGTTGTCACAGGAAATCCTAAGCCATCAATAGATTTCTTATATAAGGTAAATACTTTTGTCTTTCATCTCAATTACACATAAAAATCGTATAATGTATTTAACAGTGGATATTTGAATAATGATTTGAAAAATGTTATTTTTATTTTTGAGGGGGGAGGGGTGCAGAAAAGGAGACAAAACATATCCCGTTCAAACACGAGTTTCAAAATGACAATTTTCCATTAATTTCAAATTAATTGATGACCTTCATGATTTGATAATTTTTTTGTCATACTGCTGTCCCATTCATAAAACATTATTCATATTATACTCATGTGCATCAAATTCGTGTATTTGAACCAATATGCCCTTAGTTATTTGGTACATGTACATATACATTGTATGTGTTGATTTGATAATACTGTGTATTAGTCAAACATCTATGTACATTCTAGTTCAAATTGAATATCAACATGTTTCCTTAAAAGTGCAATATCAAATGGTATGAGCCTGGTATCGTTAATGATTTTTTATACGTGAATGAATAGACATTAAGGATAAAAGAGACCTCAAAATAGCTTCCAAAAAATTATCAGACAATTACATTTTCTACTGAGTAAAGAAAAACGTGCCATTGAAAATCATGTTTTTTGTAATAAGTATTATATAAACATGTTATACTTATTGGAGATGCATCTAAAATATAGATAAAGAGACTCTGTGTTATTTTCTTTTAAAGACCACTCATTACAAGTTACAGGATACATTCATACGCACTCTTCGAGCAATTTTCAAAGCTTTCGATATTTAGTTTCCAATAGCTATTAAAGACACATTTAAACACAAATTGCACTGAAAAAGATAAATATCCAACAAAGAGAAAACCTTCGGATAATTATCATTTGTTTTCGGCCAACTCTGATCACAGTTTGATGGTTATGATGATATTTGATTGTATTTTAATCCATATATGAGACTTAATGATCAGGTTAATATCTAAGTTTAAGGTATTAAATTCTCTTGACTACTATTTTAACATGTAGTAAATTTATATAATATATCTGCAGGGTAGAAGATTGAGCTCAAACGCGGTAGTAGATCAGACTGTTCTTACAATAACGAACTTTTTACCTCATGAAGACGGCGATTACAGATGTGTTGCCACAAACTCATTGGGTGATGATCATAAAGATTTCCACTTACAGGGACATTATATTCTTTAATTGGTTGTTTTAAAATAAATGAAATGATATGAGATAACCTTTGTAAAATAGTTCGAATTCTTAGCTTAACGTTATCGACTCAATTCATAATTGGTGATCACTACAAGACGCCAAAACAAATGCACCAATGTACATAACAACACATGTATACATAATAATAGTCAAATGAATATTTCGTGTAAACTGTCTAGGAGTTAAAAGCAAGTAACAACTGACAATCAATCAGACTCTACACTCGGAGCACTTGTGAATTGTCATATATAAAATGTCATCAAATAAAGGCTTGAACTTTACCGTTCACGTGTTGTTTTTTTTTTGCATATACTAAATAAGAAGGCAATATAATCACACTCGTAATCATGCTGTCAAATACATCTAAAAGAAAAAATAAGCATTTGATGTAAATAGGTGACTTAGAATATTAAGAAATTGTGTGGGTTTTTTTTCTACTCTATCTCTCTCTAGCCAATTTCGGAGTATTTAGAGCAATCTTAGACGGATTTAAATCCAATAATGTAATTACTCTTTATTTCAATGTTAAACAGTTCTTTAATTCAAATTGTACAACAATTCACTCATTCCAAAGGACAAGGAGTGAGCGTAGCTAATATTATATACTTAAAAATAAGAAGATGTGGTATGAGTGCCAATGAGACAACTATCCACCCAAGTCACAATGTGTAAAAAGTAAACAATTATTACAGGTCAAAGAACGGCCTTCAACACGGATCCTTGGCTCACACCGAACAGCTAGCTATAAAGTGCACCAAAATGACTAGTGTAAAACAACTCAAACAGGAGAATTAAGGGTCTAATCTATATAAAAAACGAGAAACACTTATGAACCACACCCACAAACGACAACCACTGAACAACAGGCGCCTGACTTAGGACAGGTGCATAAAAATGCAGCGGGTTTTAACAGGCGCCAACCTTCACCCTAACCTTAAACAGTGGTATAACATTACAACATAAAGAGACACACAATAAAATATCAATTGAAATGGCTGAACTCGATCAAAAAGACAATAAAAAAAACAAGTAAATATAGACTGAACGAATAAGTTTGATCTATGACACAATATATATAAAAAAGATTTTTTAATGTCAAAAAGACAACTTTAACCTAGGACAAAATGGCGTTAAGTAAAGTAACGTACACAGGTAAATTTAAATATAATAATTTTGGTGTTAGGAATACATTTTGTATACTTACATCCTGTTATTTGATGCTGTCATCAGGATAACTCTCATAAGGTTTCCTTGAATATTTTTTATTTATAATGATCTGCAAAAGTTTCTTATCTGCATCCGACTTCATCTGATTGGCTGCATCCGATGTCACCTGATTGGATGTATCCGATGTCACCTGGTTGGATGCATCCGGAATATTTACAGAAAATCAAAATCCAAACAATATACAATATGCAAACAATTACTATATGTACTAACAGCTTACATAATATCAAGGTTCTTGTTTAAACTCTAGCTTTACTGTTAGAGAAGTAAGCTGCACAATATGTCCTGCAGTTTGCATTTCATCCAGATGCGACAAGGTTCAACTTCTTGTCATTCGTGGAATATTTAACGAAAATCGAAATCATGATTATAACCACATCTTTTTCAATATTTTTACTGCTACCCTGCTTTAACCAAAGCTCTAACTTAAAATCTGTTGGAGGAGTAAGCTGAACAAAACTTGGATCCTAAGTGGGGCGAACGGGAGAACAGATAGACATCAGCGGTATATGAATATGACCACACAACATTTGTCGCAGCTGCCCTAAAAAAAACAATTCATTTACAGGAAAGACGTGTCCATCAAAAAGGTCATGTTAACTGTGACTTTATAACAGAATAATAATACTCAGCTGATATCAATGTACCATACTGAAACTTCAATGCCATCCTTAGCTAATATCACCAGTAAACGAATTTTAGTCTTGCACGGTGACTTTGAACATCATCTGAAAAGTCTGCAGCTAAACATGTTTAGTCTTGCTAAGAGTTTTTAAGTTTAATTTCATATATTTTCTTGCTGTGAATTCAGCTGAAAAAATGTTTAGACATGTTGATGGCAGTCAATCCAGTACTGTTCTATACCTTTTCAGACAATTCAGTATGTTGTTGTTTCTTACAGGTAAATGAAAGCTTCTGAAAAATCCGAACATAAACTTAACAGATCTGGATTTAGTGCAAGCGATTTGTTTTATGAGTACTTGACTTTAAGCAGTGGATCAGTCTGAAAATTAACTGAAAGACTAAACATAACTTAATGATTTATTGTTCCTTCTTTTTGGAGATGTTCAGATCAAAATGACCGTTTCACTTCACATTGGTTGACAAGTCTATCTTGCCGTGTTATCACGGTTAGGGTATCATACCTTGGAGGTATTTAACCTTCGTATTGTTCTAAATATGAGCCAGCCAGTCTTTTCAAATAATGTGATGTTTTATGAGAGGCGAAGGATACCATAGGGACATTTAAACTCATAAGTCGAAAATAAACTGACAACGCCATGGCTAAAAAAGAAAAAGACAAATAGACAAACAACTATACACAAAACACAACATAGAAAACCAAAGACTGAGCAACACAAACCCCACAAAAAACTGGTGGTGGTGGTGGTGGTGGGGGGGGGGGGGGGATCTCATGTGCTCCGGGAGGGTAAGCAGATCCTACTCCACATAAGGCACCCGTTTTGTTGCTCATGTTAGTACAAACCCGGTGATAAGTCTAATTCGGGGAAAAGGAGATGTGATTGTAGTTACGACAATTGGAACATATCCCTTGAAACGGATATTCCATAACGGTCAACCAGCTCGTGATGGGGTCCGTAAAATTTACGAACGAACGATTTCAACTTCACCACCTGGAACTCTTGGTTTAATAGCTTCCTTGTGAGCAGCAACACTCTATCAAGGAAATCATAATAAGCATACTTTCAAAAACAGAATTTTGATAGATTGATGTCAATTCAGCATTGTATGAACTGAATTGTCATAAAAGGTTTGGTTTCGGTGCAGTGTCCATTCGAGAAGGGTTTAAAATTTCAAAACCCTCACATTATTCAGAATACGAATCGGCCAGTCTTTTATCGTAATGGCATAATAGTAATGTTTTTGTAATGCTATTAAACCATGCTATTGTTATTCTGACATCAACATGATCAATTTATCATGCTAAGTATCACATAGCAGTCAAATCATCCAAATGTGAAATTTAATCGTGTTGCATGTATCTAAGGGACAACACTTTCTAGAACGGTATTAAGCTGCAAACCCTGAGCAATATTTGTAACTCGCAGTTGTAATGATATAATGCTTAACACAAGTGATAGATACGGACAACTCAGCCTTTGCTATGACACAACAGGAAAATGAAACCGAACAGTATAAGTGAGCTGGTCATGACACCAGAGAGACTGTTAAAGTAATAAGTAACAATCATAATCATACATGTACATGTTTCGGAATTTAGTGTGACGTCCATTTTCACAGAAGTAGTACACATTTTTGTTTAGGGGCCAGTTGAAGCCCGCCTCAGGGTGCGTGATTTTCTCGCTGCGTTGCTGTTTTCTGCTTTTTGGTCGGGTTGTTGTCTCTTTGACACATATTCTCAATTTTACGTAACATGCTATGTGGTATGTTTTTGTTGGTCAGTTTTGAAGGCCGTATGTTAACCTATAGCTGTTAACTTATACATCATTTGGTCTCTTGTAGAAAGTAGTCTCCATGGCTATCATACCACATTTTCTTATTTTTACAAAGAGAAAGTTTAGTTTAATATCATCATCTGATGATACTATAATTCATATTAGAAATTACGCTTTTGCTAAGTATGTCCCTTTTAAATTCAAAATATGCAAGGAAAGTGAAGAAATATTTTCTCGTCCAGAACATACTATCTGTTATGTATATCTATATCAAATATTTACATGCATTTAATATAATGTTTAATTATATTGAGAATTGACGGGTGCCACATGTGAACCAGGATCTGCATTTCTTTACAGAGAAACTGAGATCACCTCTCTGATTTTGATGGGGTTCGTATAGTTCAGTCTTTTGTTTTCTATGTTTTGTTTTGTGTACTGTTGTTTGTGTTTACGTCGTTTTTCGATTTTTTCCAATAGCATTGTCAATTTTTTTCGACTTATGATTTTTAATATCCCTTTGGTATCGTTCGCCTCATTATTAAACAGATGTTTAACGCGTACGTGACTGAATTCTGTGTTTAGAGATTTGACCTTTGATATGACTTTCTATACAGTACAAAAATCTTTGAGAAATGCCTTTCGATGTCACACAAGTTACATTTTTATTTTGGTTTATTTTATAGAAATCATACGGTATTTCTTCTTTTCTAACATTTAAAATCCATTTACTGTAAAGTAGAAAGATTAATCTATTCAGAATTAAATCGAGTATATGTAAACGTTGTACGTTTTCTTTCTTCCTGTAACTTTGCGAGTTCCCTCCGTCGTTAATGAAAACCCTTCAATATATCAGACGAGGACAAGGTGTACAGATGATTGTTTAAGTATGTTATGGTATTATAGTCTCATCACCCTATATCATTAATCAACCAATTCCATGTGTAAAGGAACTGTATATCTGTCTTTACTAGATTAAGGTTATCAAAAGCAGAAGAACTTAAAACGGAAATAATTTGCTTGTATAACATGTTCGTATAAGATTAGGATGAACGGAGAAGGTATTAAAAGTCCACCTTTTTGACCCTTTCAATTTTAAGATCGAAAAGTATTATTAATCTACCAAATAACATGCAGATTTTCATGAGACGTTAGTCTAGCAAATATCAGTATTCATAGTTTTAAATTTTGTCTTATATATTCATGATATTGCATTAAGGCTTCAAACTTACAAAAATGTATTGTATTTGTCTCAAAACTGTTGAAACTGCAAAAGTAAC